TTCAGCCTCCCAAGTGCTGGGATTACAGGTGTGTGCCACCACTTTTTTTGATAAGCAAGTTTATAACCAAAAAAAAAAAAAAAAGAAAAAAAAAGAAAATCTACAAATTATGAGTTGTAACTGACGCCACTGTCTGGGCAGACCTGCCGTGATACCGTGGAAGGAAGTAAGGAGCCTGGTGGCCAGAACGGACTCGAGGCACTCATCTGTGCTCCCGAGTCCCAGCATGTGCGTACCGAAGTACACTTGGGACAATACAGCGTGCGCATGTGCACGTGCACACCACACTCCAGGCTCTCACTGCTACGGTGGCCTGGGACCAGGCAAGTGCACCAGCACAGGCAGCCACAGCCTGGCTTTCCACACAGCTTGACTGGTGCGCAGAATCCTGGAATCTTACCAGCAATTACGGCAGTGCCCAGGTAGAAGGAGCACATGTCAACAGGATAAAGAACCTGGCCTGCAGGTGTGCTGCCTATCGGCGTCTGAGAGCAGAGCAGCAGCTAAAGAAACAAGCAACAGACTGCAACCTGCTCCATGGAGGAAGAAACTACAGTCCACACCCGTACTGATGAGTACAGTTCCTTTGTAGCAGCAAAGTCTGCCAAACACCACCTCAGACAACGGTCAAAGTATAGGCAGGCATGGGACAAATCAAAATCATGCCACCCAGTAGGACGCACTGAGAGCAGTACCACCTCCACTATGCTTCTGCCACAAAAAAAAATTCATTCTACAAAATAACTGATTTATAATCTTCAAAGATTCAAAGATCAAAAAAGTGAATGAGAAACTACACAGCTCCGGACTGTTATGGCTTGTGTCTAGACTTCCCCGAAAGTCTCCTGCTGTCACAGGTGGGCTTTTGAAGGGTGGCTGGATCCAGAGTGTGTGATACGAGGATCAGAGGTGTGGATTAGTAGTCCACTGACTGGTTTGGCAGTTCCGGTATGGATAATGGGCAGGCCCCCCAGGGGCTGGGCGCTGCCTGCCTAAGGGGTGCAGCCTGGACAGAATGTAAGCGACAGAAGCTGGTCACCTGCTGCTTGCTCCTTCTGGCCATGACTGCTTCTCTTCTCCACTGGCCCTGCCACGCCACTCTGACTTGGAGCCAGATTTGCATGCGAGCCCAGGGCCAGACAGCGGCAATTTCTTTCTGTAACTCCAGGTTGCCTGGGCTCACAAAATGAAGCCCCCACAGAGCCGTTCAAACCTTCCCTCCCTTAACTTCTGAGTGTTGGGTATTTTCTCTCAGCAATGAGAAAAGCAACTAAGACAAGGACAAGGACAAGGACACCAACCCAGACACAACTAACAGCAGTAGGTGACCCTGAACCACATGCACTTGCCACCCAGGACTTTACTGGTATACTTGGCAAGACTTGCATGCGAGCCCAGGGCCAGACAGCAGTGAATTCCTTCTGTAACTCCAGGTTGCTGGGCTCACGCAGAACTGTGACCTGTACACAGGAACACACACTGGAAAAGCTAGGGCTGATGGCTCCACTGGGCCGGCATCTTACCCTCAAATGGCTCAGGTTATGTACCTGTAATTTTCATATTGTTGTTTCAAAACAGAATAATTTTAACTGTAGTTAATTTCCTTTCCATTTTTTATCTGTTAGGTGACTCAAAAAATGACTACAGGAATAGGGTTGAAGACAGCTATATTAACACTTAATTCCATCGAATTTCCTCCTCAAATAGAACAGAAATTAAGTTATTTTATAATTTTAAATGAATATTTTAACTACATTAAAAGTCTGAATTTTAAAAAATTGCTGAATAAATGTATTTTTCTAGATTGAGTTAAAATTTGAGTACTTGGTTTTTCTTTTTTTTTGAGACAGGAACTTTGTAGTTCAGATTGGCCTAGGATGTAGTTCAGATTGGCCTATGTAGCCTAGGATGGTCTTGAACCTGCAGTGGTCTTCTCACCTCTGACTCCGAGTACTAGGATTACAGGCATGTGCCATCACATCTGCCTTTTGAATTCTGAGACAGGGTCCTGCTATGTTGATCAGGCTGCTCCTGAACTCATCAGGCTAGCTGCAAACATGAAGCAATTCTCCTGCCTCAGCCTCCTCCTCAGTGCTGGGACTTCAGGTTTGTGCAACCATGGCCCAATCTTTTGTTTTCTTTGGTTTTTTTTTTGGAACTGGGGATTGAACTCAGGCCCTTGTGCTTGCCAGGGAAGTGCTTATTCCACTGAGCCATCTCCCCCGCCCCATTCTTTAGCTTTTTGAAACAGGGTTTCACTGTGTAGTACAGGCTGGTCTTGAACTATGTAGTCTCGGCTGGTCTCAAACTTGTGGCAATTCTCCTGCCTCAGCCTCCCCAGTGCTGGGATTATAGGTGTGCACCACCATGGTTGGCTATTATATTTTTTGAAAGTCTGGCTGAAGATAATTTAGGGTTATAAAGATCTATGCCACTCAAAATTAAGATGACACACCAGGGATGCTGGGGTGGTTCAATATATGCAAATCAATAAATGCAATACACGTATTAACAGAGTCAAGGACAAAAGCTATACGCTCATCTCAATAAATGCAGAAAAAGGATTTGACAAGGTCCAACACCCACTCTTGATTTAAAAATTGGAACACATGGTCTTTACCACAATCTGATAAAAGCCATCTATGACAAGCCAACACCCAACAACATACTACCTGAACAGAAACTGAAAACTTTCACTCTAAATCAGGAACAAATCAAGGATACTGCTCACTCCATTCTTTATTCAATATACTTCTGGAGACATTAGCAGGAGCAATTAGATAAGAGAGAAATAAAAGCAGTTAAGGATAAGAAAGAAGTTAAATTACCATTACTTGCAGATGACATGATATTCTACACAGAAGACCCATCAACACCAACAGACTTCGACGTTTAATAATCAAATTCAGTAGCATGGCTGGATACAAATTAAACGCTCAAAAATCAACAGCATGTCTGTACACAAATAAAACAACCCCCCTGAGAAATTAGAGAAACAACATCTTTCACAACAGCATCCCAAACAATGAGATACCTAGGAAACAATCTAACAAAGGGAGAACTTTATACTGAAAAACTATAGCAGGCTGAAAAATGAGATGGAAGAGGGTATCAGAAAATGGAAAGATAGCCTTTGTTTTGGTTAAGAACCAACAGTGAAAATGGCCATACTTCCAAAATTGCTACACTGATGTAATGCAATCCCAATCAAAATTCCAACAGCATATCTCACAAAATTAAAAAAAAAAAAAAAATCCTAAAATTCACTTGGAGCCACAAGAGACCTAGAAGAGTAAAGGCAATTCTCGGCCACAAAGGCAAGACAGGAGGCATCACAATCCCTGCCTTGATATGACAAAGCTACGGTGATAAAAACAGCATGGGACTGGAACAAAAAAAAGACCCAAGGTTTAATGAAACCGATTAGAAGATACAGAAACAACTCCAGACATACTCAACCACCTTATTTTTTTATTTTTGTGGCAGGCTCAGCTCAGCCCACCCTGGGGGTGGAGGCTGGCATGGCATGTGGTGTCAGGGATAGAACCGCAGTCCCTGAGCTTTGCCTGAACTTGCCTCCACAGGAGCTTTAGACTGCTGAGCTATCTCGCTGGCCCCCAACCACCTTAATCTTTGACAAAGGAGCCAAACACCTTCACTGGAAGAAAGACAGCCTCTTTAATACATGGCGCTCGAACAAAACCCTAACCACACAAGAAATATCACGAAGAATCAAGTGGGAGCTTATCTTATTAAAAAGCTTTCGCATAGCAAGAGAAATCAACGCAGAGTAGAAAAAGCTTTTCCCACTTGTTCCCTAGACAAAGGATTAATATCTAGAACATACAAAGAACTCAAAAAATTAGGTTCCCCAAACTTAAAAGACCCAATCCAAAAACAGATGTGTGGATGAATGGAAAACTTCTCACGCTAAGAAGTACAACTATGTGACAGTGTTCAACATCACTGGTCACTTGAGAGATGTAAATTAAAGCAATGCTGAGGTCGTATCTCACCCTGGAAACTGGCTATTATCAAGAAATCAGCCAATAACCGGTAGGCTGTGGGGAAAGGAGCCCTTCACTGTTGGTGGGAGTGGAGAGTGGTGCAACCACTGCGAAAAGCCGTGTGGAGACTCTTCAAAAATTTACAACTGAAGATTCCTCAAAAATCTACGACTACAGACTCCTTTTGACCCAGCTATTCCGTCTTGGTATCTTCCCAAAAGAATTAAAAACATACAATGACATATGCACACCTGTGTTTACAGCAGCACCGTTTTAGTAACTATTCTTGAAACAGCCCAGATGTCCATCAACCAATGAATGGATAAGAATGTTTTATTATTAATTTTTAAAAATCTTTATGTATTTGGTACAGGATCTTGCTACACAGTGGTCCTCCTGTCTTAGCCTCCCCAGTACTGGGATTACAGGCCTGTGCCACTGTGCCTGGCTCAGGGCACAGCCGGAATGGCATGTGGTACAGGGGATCTAACACAGGTCCTTGTGCGTGCCAGGCAGGCACTTACACTGCTGAGCTATCTCCCCAGCCCCAGACGTGGATTTTTACAATGGCGCACTACTAGGCCACAAAGAAGGTAAGCTGAAAACATTTCTAGATAAACAGATGCACCTTGGCTCATACTCAAGTGAAATAAATCAGACACATACGTGTAAATACCTCATTGTTTTTCTGGTGTAAGAAATCACAAGTGTAAATAATGATCAAAACATACAACAGATATTGTGAAATGGGAAGAAAATGTCCACACAGGAAGGGGAACCATGAAGAGGCAAGCGGGAAAGGAAGGAAGGGAAATGAAAAAAAATGAGAAAAGAAAAAGTGGAAACAAAGATTTTTTTTTTAAGTAAGCTGGGCATGAGCAGTAGAAGATGGGGAGGGGAATGAGAAAAAGACTGATTACGTATTAGGTACAAGTTCCCTGTCACAAGTGTAATCATTATGCATAGCCAAAATGTATCAACAGCATTTTTTTCTTGAGACAGGGTTTCACTATGTAGGCCAGGCTGGCCTAAAGTGCATAGCACTCCTCTTGCTGTAGCCTCCCAAGTGCTGGGATTACAGCTGTGTGCCGCTATGCCTGCTTTACTGAATTAAAAAAAAATTTTGATGACACACAGTAGTCAGAAGTATACCAATTTCTTATAATATGCTCTCACAAGCAACGACATGTATGCCAAACAGACAAATCTGAAAGGATCTACCAAATGTAGTAAGTTAGGGGTACAAAAAACTTCCCACTTACAGAAATTCCCAAGTAGAAGTAGAAGAAGAATTCTGAATTTTTAGGTCCATCCTGCCTGAGAGCTGAGACTCAGCAGAACTTGGTTTACTCAGAACCTTCAGGATAGGAGGCTAAGTGGAAAAAAGGCAGTGCCAGTGACACTGCCTGGCACAGCCACTCCCACTGGCCTTCTCCCATGACACAGGCCGGGGTCCACAGTGCACCCTCGGCACAGCCTCACTGCTCCCCGGTGACGAAGAGGTGGACGCTCTTCTTGGACTGCAGCATCTGCGCTGCCCGCTCCACACCCACCACGGCTGCCAGGCGCTGAGCGTCATACTTGGCATACAGAACAGTGCAGGTCCATGTGGCCTCTTCCCCTCTGCTGGTGGCCCGCAGCATGTTGCAGAGGTCACTGTAGAAGTGGGGGTATGTGGGCAGCTCGTAGAATATCAAGTTCCGGATGCCTTTGATTGTGTACCTGTTAAGACAAAGCAAAGAGGCTGCCGGTCATGAGCAGCAGTTCAGAGGAGCTGCCCAAGAACCCAGTCCCATCAGCACAGCCCAACAGCAGTGCAGAGGGCTTATTTTGTGACAATATATTTGAATTCAGGCACGTATCTTAAGCCAAATGTCTGGCTTAAGATCATAAAGTAGCTTTACGATTGTTCAGCCCACTTGGCAGAGGTGAGGTGAAGTAGGGATGATCATGGACCAGGAATAAGAAGCCGTGACAGAGAAGCAGGCATGTACAACCTAATGCTACCCTTATTCACATCCAGGAAAACCAGCTCCGTAATGCAGATAAGGTCAGACCCAGCAGAGTAACGCACGCCCACTGTCTTTCCTCCTAACTCTGTAGACATGTGACTCCCCTGCAGATGCTCACATTCCTCCAGCCACAAGCTCCTGAGTACCCCTTAGGCACTGGGAGAAAGCAACTGGCTTTAATGGTTCAGAACTGCAACTATGGATGCCAAGGCAGTGTGACTCGAGGGAAAGTCAGATATGCCCTGTGGGCATCTACCAAGACTACATACCTTGTCAGGGTTCTGGGTCCTCCTAGAGGCGAGGTGAGGCTAGTGATACACTGAAGGTGTTATGCTCCCTTAGGAACTTCATTTTATTCACATAGAGACTAAGTTTGCCTTGTCTTTATCTCATGGCTTGACCTGATCTCTTAAGACTCCTCTGACCTCCTCAGCAGGAAAGAGGGCACTGGTATGGAGTGGGTGTCATTCTCCCTGCTGCAGCTCTCAGCCTGATCAGGTTCAAGCCACAGTGTGTTACTGAGCATGGAGCTGGGCTGGCGATGACACCTGATCTCCTACGCCACCCTAAAGCAGCTTCACCCTGACACTGCTTGTGACCTGAACTCCATCCTGGCAGGCCCCACTGAGGAAAAACAGAACATAAGATCACCACCCAGGAGAACAGAGGCAGCTCCACAAATCTGGGTAGAAAGAAAGTAGTTGTGCTGTTCTCAAATTCTTAATATACAAGTATAGCCCTATGACTGCTCAGGAACCCTATGCTCCCTGGATGTTCTGCAGCTCTTTCCAGGCCTTCATTATAGCCCCGTAGGGAAGGGTGCAGACAGGCACAAGACCCTGGAGAGATTCCACCCCACCAATGGTACAGGGGTCAAAGCCCAGCTACTTCTCAGACTCACATTCTAAGACTCACAGCAATAGCCTAAAGCAGAGGGAAGTGGGGCCAGCACCCCTAGACCCAGGGAGATAAAATCCTGGTGGGAGAGGACAGGCAGAAACAGAGGTCTGCTCCTAAGGGAAGGGCAGAACGCACACCCCACTTCCCCTACCTCTGAACACAAGTGGAACTCAACGGTCTTGCACTCATTGAAAAAGCAACAGCAATCAGCGTGGCCAACTTAGGGCAAGACACCTGCTCAGCCCAGGTTCCTGCACTGATCTTGGCCCAGGTTTGCCAGCCTGGGGGAGAAGCTGGGTATGGCTTCCCCTCAAGACCCCCAAGGTACATAGTAGGCATCAAAGGTCTGGCTCTGCCCTGACAACAACCCCTGCTCCCAGCAAAGCTAGAACGGAAAGGGCCTGCTAGCACTGAGGAGGAGTGAAGCTTCCTGGTGAAACCTTAAAGTCTGGTGGGGAGTCACAGCACCAGGGTCTGCTCTGGGAGTGGCGCAGGAGTGTGGCTGGGGACAGCTGTAAGGTCAGGAGGCTCAGGAAATCTCTCAGCACCCTAAAGGCCACACTACACTCTCTTGTCTTTGAGAGAAGAGTCTCAAGTCTGTGTTGCTATGGTAACCCCTAAGTCCAGAATAGACCGGCAGCACCCACCCACACGAGTAGCCTATGTATGACTTCTCTCAGCCTTTACACCAGGTGGAAAATCACAGAAAAACAGCACCTAGACATCTGAACAATGGCGTTATCACAATGACTAGCAAGACACTACAAGTGTGTGGCATTTACAGAAATACATCAATGAGTATACATTACTTTGTGTGTGAATTTTTTGTGGGAGGGAAAAATGGTACACATAGGAAATAAGCAGTAATTGCACCAAATTTTTAACTGGGTACACATTTATGCTAATAAATTTTCCTTTCAAAATCTAGCCTAAGGGCTGGTGAGATGGCTCAGTGGTCTAAAGCACCTACTTAGAACAAGCTTGGCAGAGCACAGGGACCGCGGTTCAATCCCCCAGCACCACATGCCAGCCAGCCCCGCCCCCTGGTGGGCTGAGCTGGCCACACACACACACACACACACACACACACACACACACACATAAATAAATGAATAAAATTAAAAAAAAAAAATCTAGCCTAAGAAAACACCTATGGCAAGCAGATCACCACAAAGTATGCATACTGGTGTTGCTGGCACTGTCACATACCATCCACACTTCAGGTGCCAAAACCCTCAAGTAAGCCAGAACGTTGGCGCACACCTGTACTCACATGCAAGGGTCTGAGGCAGGGGGCTGGCAAGCAAAAGGCCCGCCTGGGCAATACAGCAAGTTCAAACCGGCCTGGAAGCAGAGCAGATCCTGGCTCAAAATACCTACCCCAAGGCCCCAGATGCTCTACTCTCTTCTATAAAGTGGCACAGTGCTTGGATACAACCTTTGCATGTCTTCCTCTACACTTTATTTCTTCTGCAGACTACGTGAGCAGATACTCCTTGTTTAATCACCTACCTGTCTAAGACTCCTCCAGCTGAGATGCACTGTTGGGACTTCTGACCCGCCCCTTGGACCTACAACCCATCTTCTTTTCAGGGTGCAGTTCCTTGTATCCTGTTTACTCTTTGTTCTGAATATTGTACTGTACATATGAGATGAGTCCTCATTTAGCAACCAATTTAATGACCCAGATAGGAATTTGGAATTCCGTCACAAGAGGAAGAGGGTCTGTAATCCCTAACACAATTAAATGCCAGGTAAATAGTTGTTACACTGTATTGTTTAGGAGTAATGGCAAAAAGTACTTAAATTCAGTACAGAAGCATTACTTTCAGAATATTTTTGATCTTAATTTATTTCTGTAGCTGGTTGAATCTATGAATTGGGACACAGAGGGCCAATTTTACCTACAAACACTGAGAAAATTGTCCACTAAAAGAAAAAAGGACTAACAGAACAAGCAAACAATGCAGTGCTATGTAACCATTAAATCAGGCGTGGTGGCACCTGCCTATAATCCCAGCATTCAGGAGGCTGAAGCAGGAGGATCACTGCGTTGAGGCCTGCTTGGGCTACACAGTGAGTTCAAGGCCAGTCAGAACTACCTACCCAGTGAGACCTTGTCTCAAAAGAAAAAGGGCTTCTGAAAGTGAATGGATCACAGGGCACTGCACCTATTAGTGCATAATCAGCTGATGAATAATCCATAGCTCAAGGTGCTGTTCTGAGGAGGGCCTGGTGATAAGAGAGAGGTAGTCACTGGACAAATCTCCCTCCTGGCCCCTCCCTCTCCTCTGCTTACTATTCATCATGACATGAACAGCATTCCTTCCCTTCTTATGTCCCTGTAACACTGTTTCTGCCCTGGAGCCAGCCAACCCAGACTAAAACTTCTGAAGCAGTAAGCCAAAATAAATACCCTGTGGGTGTCAGGTATTTTGTCCCAAAATAAGAATGTGACTAAGACAGAGAATATATATGCCAGAATATTAACATGTTTGAACTTTCTAATAATGAGCACATAAGACATTTACAATAAAGTGAAAAAACCCTAGGTATACAATGTGATAATTTAGTTGTTTTTTAACACACACACACACACACACACACACACAGGGCCAAATAGTTCAGCAATTAAAGCCCCTCAAGCAGGCGCAGGGGCCAGGGGTTTGATCCTCAGGACTGCTGTGCCGGCCCTGTAATCCCAGCTCTTGGGAGGCTGTAAACAGGTGGATCAGTATGAGTCCGATATAGTAGTGAGACCCTGAACACCCTGTAGACCCTTCCCTAATATACAAAAAAAATTTTAAAACACACATACACATACAGTTTTTTTCACACAGAAAAGAGAAAATATACATCTCCCCCCAATTTTATTTTTTAAAATGTCAAAAAAAAGGGGCCGGGGAGATGACTCAGTAAAATAAATGCTTCCCTGGTAAGTGTAAGGGCCTGAGTTCACTCCCCAGTTCTGCAAAAATAAATAAATAAATAAAATAATATAATGTCAAAAAAGCCAGGTGTGGTGGTGCACACCTGTAATCCCAGCACTCAGGAGTGTGAGGCAGGAGGACCATGAGTTTCAGTGCAGCCTGGGCTACAAACCAAGACCCTGCCCTTAAAAAATAAATGAAAAGACAAGAACACTTATAAAATTATCGGGATTAGAGTTGTAAGATTATAAATGAATGTTTTCTCTTTTGGTAAATCTGTATTTTCCTAAATTCTCTAAAATAATTATTATTCTAATAATCAGGAAAAACAAAACAAGAAGACTAATAAGGCAAAGACAGACAGACAGACAAGACAGAGAGAGAGAGTGAGTTGGGAGGGAGGGAGCCAGCCAGTGTCAATTTTCCCACAACACAGACTAGGCACCCCGGAAATGGAGACTGACCAGGGCAATGTGTACTGATTCTCCATATCCATGCACCCCTTCTGCTCTCCTCTGGTCTGGCTCCCTCATCCCTCACAGATATTATGCTGCATTCACACTTGCTATAGCCAAGCACCCTGGAAGTTCTCCAAGCCAGCCACTTCACTTAAAGGGCTTGTTTTATTTATTGAGTTGACAGAAAACTAAGGGCTTTCAAGACTTAGTGAGTGTAACCTCCCCCAAACACTTCCTAACATCAACAGAAACAACTTACTAGAGCAAAGCAAATGATGCCAACAAGTAGACATACACTAAGGTTCTTTGGCCATAGACTTGTTTGCCAAGAACAGAGCTAGGAAACAAATTCAATTAATTCTTAACTCTCCACTTAGATGAACTAATCAGCAGACTACCTGAAGGGGTTGGGTCTGGACAGCTCTGCTTTGCCCAAGGAGGATGTTGGGAGTCCTCCCTGGCTGCCCTAGTAAAGAGAACACATCTGGAAGTACTAGCCTAGCATCAGCATAAGCTAAAAAAAGCATGCAGTGCAAAGGTGCATCATTTAATGTGCTCAAGGGTGGAAGACTTCTGACCTAGCTGCTTCAAAGTCTTTGAGAAAATCTCCCCTCATTAGTATATATGACTGCAAGTTAATAGAACAGTAAAATCAGAGCTCAAATTCATTGCATGTTAGAGTGAAATTCCAAGAACAAGTAAAGCAAATCCCCAACGCATGAACAACTGAGTTATGAACTTTCACAGATACAAATGGGCCTCATATTTGGCTTTTTTATTCTTTATGTCACGTATATGCATCAAAGACATATACGACTCACTCTGTTGGACTTACGAACAAGTGCAATTTATGACTGTTCTCCCAGAATGGAACCTGTTCCTAGGTTGGGGACTTACTGTAATAGAATACAGAATCCATCTCCCTGTGTTAGGGTTTAAATAGGCTTTTCTATTTGTCAGCAGACTTTATAAAACAGTATCTAAACTCCAGGCACACAAAGGACTGCAAGTAACACCAAAGAGTAAAACAAAGATAGTACTACTATCTAATTAGAACACTGAAAACTATTTACAAAAAGGCCAGTCAACTTATTTTGTAGTCACCCTTCCCTTTTTGCCTCCTGTTGAGATCATGGCACATGGAGAGAAGTCACCTTGCACCCTCCTTCTCAAGCCAGAAACACTGTCCCTAAAGGCCCCTTCAATGACAAGGCTTCTCCTGCCTGATACACTCAAGATGTCCCTGTCATGAGCCAGTCAACTCTCTTAATGTTAGTTTGAGGTTTACAAGCACAGATAAACTCCAGGTCCGCACCAGGTTATGCTTTTGTTATACAACCTTCCCAGCAATCCTTGTTTTGAGAAGAAATCCCAACAGATCAAGAACAATCTGTCATGACCAAAAATACTTAAGGCAGCTAATGACAATAAACAGGAAGTTAGTAAAATAGAATAAAGATCAGGAACACCGGAAGGAAGTGAGAGGTGGGAAGCTGGGGAAGGCCTGTGTGAGGTGCAAGCATCTGAGCACAGGTGAGGAGCTGAAAGAACATTTAGGATGACCCACGCCATGACCCATGTTGCACTACGTGCAGGACAGCAGGCTGAAACCTGGACTACTTTACCTTTTGTAGAAATGGAAGCGCTCTGTGAGCAGCAGAAACTGCTTCTCTCCTTGAAGGAAGAAGTGTCTGGCCCTGGACACAGCTGACTTCTGGGTGTACTCGCAGATGTGTGTGAAGTTCAGTTCCTCCTTCTTGAAGTAATTTCGCAGACGCACGTAGTCAAAGTAGGAGGGGACATAGATGAGAGTATGGGACATGACTGCATCACGGTACTGAGGCAAAATCTTGTTTATAAAAAAGTTAAACCTGATTTGGAAAGGTAAAGGGCAATGTTAATGGTCCAGAGTTGAACAAGAAAATGGTCGTGACAATCAACTTGACTCCAGACAAGTCACAACTTCATGTTAAGAGATCACCTCAAGGCTAGACTTGCTTTCTCTCAAACAGATTAGGTAAAGATAAAAAACTGATTTTTCATCAAAAAATAAGTGGTAGGACCTGCGAGACAACTCAGCAGACTTGCCTGGGGAAGAGCAGAGGCCAGGGTTCGATCCCTGGCCCCGCATGCTGCACTGGCCCCATCCCTGAGCACAATGAGCCAGCAATGGAGTCCAGGAATGGCGGCACACACCTGTAATCCCAGCACTAAGGATGCAGAAATCAGGCGGATCACTACAAGTCTGAGCTGTGTAGTGAGACCCTGCACACACACACACACACACACACACACACACACACGCAAAAAAAGTGCTAACATTATTCACTTAAAAAACAAGATGTAACTCCACTATACCAGAAGAATTATTCCAGACAGTATATGCCATACCATTCATCAGTCTGTCAGTGAAAAAATAATCACTGAGCTTCTCCTTTCAGCTAAGTACCATTATGCTAACTAAACACAATAGGAAAAAGAGGAAACACACACACACAATCAGAAAAATGGTTGTTGTCCTGAAAGCTTACAATGAAAACTGCTGACATGTGACACACATAGCACAAGTGCATGAGGCCACACAGCAGTGTAATGTGACTTGAAATGCTGCAGCCAAGTGGGAAGGAGTGCCGATTCAGACCTAGGAGACCTAGGCCAAGCCCCCACTTCTCCGACCTCAGCTTCCTGTCAAACCAATGAGCTCATCTGATCTGCTAAGTGGATGTCAATCAAAGTACAAGGCATCCAGCTCTAAGTCAGCTCTGGCATGGCCCAAGGAGCCCAACAGGAGGCCAGTACCTGGCGTCGATCACTGCAGCAAGGCTCTCGGTGTCCATCCTCTGGAAGACATGTGGGAGCTGCACCAGCACGTGACTGATGGAGCCTGTCCTGGGGACATTCCGCACGGCCACCTGCCAAGGGCCAATGAGAACGTCAGGAGGCAAGCACTGCCACTGTCGGTCTCAAGACCGTGCCCATCTGCCTCAGGAAGAGTCAGGCACAGAGGCATACCCACCTGACCCTGTAGGTTCACGCAGTGCTTACTGAACACCGAGTTGATCTGGGCATCCTGCAGGGCCCCAAACAGCAGGGTCTGGCGATAGTACCTGGCCCAGTTATTAAGGCTCCACATCCGCACTCGAGAAAAGTCAACTCCATGCGAGTCCAGGGGCAGCAGGTTCATGTGGTTCATCAAATGCTTTGGGCAAAGAGAAGGCCACCATTAGTATGAACTGAGTACATCCATGGTGGGCAGTGCTGAATGCTTTACAAGCCTAGCATCTCTTCACTTCCGAGAGGATATCCTTCACTTGCAGTAAGAAAACAGGCTCACTGGGTAAACAAGATACACTGAAACTGGCAACTTCTTGGACCTTTAGAAAACTATCATAGTGGTGCCTCGTGGAATACTCCTGAAAGGTACTTCTGAAATGTCACCCTGGTCACTTTATGGGCCCCACAGTCCCAAGCTGGACAAAAAGGGTAATGGTGTGGAAAACAAGCTACTGTCCATCACTGACCTAGAATTTCTCCAAAGTCTCACGTGTCTAGAAGGCAAATGGAGGATGGGGACTTTATACTGACTTGCTATTGAGTTTGGTCCCTTGGCATCTCCCTCCAGAGCTCTGCCCTGCTCACTCTGCTTCCTGTCCACTCCGGGGTCAGCAGTTTTACCCTCTGGAGGGCCCTTAGGAGAAGGCCGATTAAAACCTCTGCGAACTATGAGCAAAAATAAACTCTCCTCTTTGAAGCTCTGGGGGTCAGGTATTGCAGCTCATCAACAAGGAAAATGATTATAACAACCCAGTTCTCAAAACACCAGTGGCCCAGAGCTACCATAATTGATTTTCCTCAAATTAAAGAATATGACAACTACTGACATGCCTTTTCCATTTAGTTATACTTTCAACTGGCATCTATCAGAGTCATGTACCAAAAGCTTATTCCCTACCTTAGAAGTATGTACTATCCCCTATGTGCCCCCCAATTCCAGCAAGCTAGAGACCTACAATTTTGAAGTGAATTCCCACTTGAAAAAGAAAAAAAGTCCATCTGAAAAGGACAATCTAAAGCAGTTTTCAATCCTAAAACTAAAAAACTGCAGGGTATGAGGAAGAGGTACAGGAAAAAATGCAGTAAGTGGATACAGCTGCTCATAAAAAATGCCAAGTTAAAAAGCCTTGGGCAATAATTTTCTATCCCCACTGAAGACAGAATGAGCAGTGTATGAGGAAGTGAGGTAGCAATGCTCCCCATGAGGATTTCCACCCATCCTCCTACCCACAGAAAGTTCTTTAAGGGAAGAAGCCTTTACTAAAGATTTGAAATAATAGAAAAGAATTTTTACATCTCTGTGTAGTTTAATTATTGACTGATCTGTGGGCAGAGAAAAAGATAAAAGAATTTTTCAAATTGGAAAATGTAGACTATTTCGGTTTCCTAACTAATTTTTTTTTTCTAACTGAATTTTAATTTGGACTTATATAACTTTTTAGACAAGCCTGGCACACTTCTTGTTTCTCCAAACGTCAACAACCAGGATTACCAAGACATGCTCCCAGTTCTGCATCAGGTAGATATCAGCTTGATCAATGATGAGAAGCTCAATGGAAGACAGAAAGTCAAAATCTCTCTTTTTCTCTCCTTCTCCACCGATGATGGTCCTCAAGCCCAGAGGAGATGCGATAAGGATGTCCGAGGAGTAGAAGGGGGCGTAGAGTCGGATGCTCCTCTGCAGGATCGCCACCCCTGCACCAAGCACAAGGCACGTGACTGCTCATGGCTCAGTCTGGGGCCCTCACACAGCCACCCTCCTGCACCTTCACATCTCCCTGCCCTTCAGTAACTCCTTTTCTGTCTCTAGTCCCCTTTAGCGCCCATTCTCCTCCTTTCCGTCCTGTCATCCAAGCTCTCCAGGAATGTCAATGCTTACAAAACTCCCATTCACTTATCACTCCTTCACCATCAGAACTCTCGGTCTCCCTCAGGACCTGATCTGTCCTCACTCCAACATGACTCATGCTCAAGTCCCCAACAACCCTAACTCTCAGGGCTCTGGGTCTAGAATGCAAAATGCATGCTCACCCTTTAAGTGCTATCTGCAGGACTTCAGTGCTCCCTCCTGCACCATTCCCTACCAAGCCCCAAATATTGTTCCAGATCCAAGTACCTCTTCTTCTACAAGCCCCTCTACCCTCTTCTGTATAAAGCTCTTGATAAGTTTACTTCCTACCCATGGCTTTAACACTGCCTGTATAAAATCTTATATTTCCAGCCCAGAGTCTTTTGCTGAGTTTCAGACCATATACCAGCTGCTTGCTGGACATCTGAATGTGTTCCAAAAAACCTGAAGCCATACAAAGCCTGTGCCAATGAACCCTACATCATTCTAGGCTTTGTCCCAAAAGCCTCTACACAAGCATTCTCCTGTCTGAAACACTTTCCTCCACTCCAACCACCCCTCTAGGACTGAGTAAATCTTACTGAGGCTTCAACAGGTACAAAGCAACACTGTTATGACAGCACCTTTCCTCACCACACTGCCCCCATCCTAGACAGTGGGTTTGCTTTAAAATGTGCCCCAAAGCCCCACTGCACGTGCATGTCCTGAACTTCATCCCCTGCTAAGGTGGACTTCACTGGCAATAGGAACTGTAACTTTTATTTTTATATTCCCAGTTTCTTGACACGCCTGGCATCCTGCAGGTGAAAAATGCCTGTGAGTAAGCACATATGACTAACATTTAAGGCACAATCAAGTCAGCAGGACCTGAATAAACAACTAGCAAAAAGCATGGAAAGCTGGAGGAGTGCCTACGTGGAGCACACAGCCAACCCAGAGCTTGGCAGGCATCTACAGAGCAGACAGCTGCCTTCTGCACAGGGTCCTCCCCAGGGGCCCACCAGCCTTGTTATCCTCATCTTCTCTGAGAGTCGCACACAGCATTCCTGTGACCTGCTGCTGGAGTCACTTCCTGGAAACACGCAGCGCATTTTTCCACCTGGCCCCAAATGCTCCCTAACCCTATTTAGGCAAGATTCTCCCCCAGCAAAGAGATGGGAACGTCAGCAGCCCTCTGGGGAACACCAATTTCCAGGGTTCTAGACTGCAGCCAACTGTGGATCACACAACGCCCCAATTTTGACAAGAAGGAATTACCAATCCTGAAGTGGTCATCGATGTTACCCACAAACACAGCTTCATAATCCTCAGGCCTCTTCAGGTTAGGCGGTCTCTCCTCAGGATCTGATCCATATTCGCTTTGAAATCTCTTTTTGTTGCTCACAATGATTTTTTTCTTGCTGTCGCCCTCCAGGAGGCTGATAAAGAGCTGCACCACCCGCAGAGCAGCTTCCCGGAACGGCACTACTATCAGCACCTGTGCAGGAGCAAAGCAGTCTTGGTAGGGCGGGGAGAAACGGCAAGCCCAGGTGCACTTGCTGAGGACGCAGGGCTCAGAAGCCCTGTGCTGAGTGGCCCCTGGCAGGCACCATGCCTATGTCACCCCCTCCACATAGAACAGGGCTCAGGACATGAGCACAAGCATAGGCCCCTGTGGACTTCGGCCCATGGCTCATGAGAGTTGCTTCTCAAGCAGGGTTTAACACAGGGTAATGCCCAGATCACCTGCCTGTGTCTGCAGGTCAAAATTCAAGGATAAGCAAGGTCTCTAAAGGTAAGGTAAATGTTTACCCATTTGTCTCCCATAGAACTCAGTATCAGGTTTTTATCCATAAGACCCATTCAATGCATTTATGCCAAACAAATGAAGAAAAGCTAACAAGGCTTTCCTAAGGATAGTCTGCCCTGTGTCCTGCACACCCCAAGCTCGTTCTGCAGAGCCAGTTGTTCTCTCACTCTTGGTTTTAAAATAAACTCTGTCACCACACACACACACACACACACACACACACACACACAGGGAAAAAAAAAAAAACCTAAAGAAAAAGGATTAAAACATCATTGCTAGGGCCGGCCAGATAGTTCAGCGGACTAAAGAGCCTGCTTAGGCACAGTGCAGCAGCCAGGGTTTGATCCTAGCCTGCTGTGCTGGCCCTGCCCCCTAGGGTACTCTGAGACAGTGAGTAAGACTGGGGGTGGTGGCGGGCCTCTAATCCCAGCACTTGGGAGGCTGAAAACAGAATCACTGAGTTCTATCTACATAGTGAGACCCTGTAGACCCTATACTAAAATACATGGAAAAAAAAAAAAGTCTCTAAAACATGTCAATACTTAAATTGTATAATCCTAAAACAAAGCTTCTTCGATATAAAAAGGTATAAGGTAAAATGCACATAAGGACATCTATTTCCCTTTCCACTACCTGAAATCCTCTGGCATTTAGACTTGTAAGAACAAATAAATTACATCATTACTTTAAGCAGCACTACCATGAAGAAGGCAGGCGGATTTTTGTTTTCCAAGGTTCACATATTCACACAGGTAGCTGAAAAGAACCTTTGACTGGAGTTCCAACTCTGTTCTTACCCTGCTGCTCTTTAGCAGAGCCTTCTGCAAAGCTGGAACTCTGTCCACACCTGTAGCACACAAGGACTAGGTAGAAAGTCCATCCATGGAGTACTATTCTGCTATAAAGAAGGGCAAACGAGGCACTGCAAGCTGAATAGATGCATCTTGTCCTTTATTTGTATTTGTTATAGGGTTTCACTACATAGTTTGGACTTGTAGTGATCCTCCTGCTTTCAGTCTCCCCAGCACTGGGATTACAGGCATGCATTACTACTACATCCAGCCTCGGTAGTCAGCTCAGTGGGAGCAGGGCTGGCATGGCACATGGTGCCAAGGATCAAATGCAAGTCCCTGCCCTTGACTAAGCAAGCACTTAGTTCACTGAGCTATCTCACCAGCCCTAGATGCACCTTGAACCCATACTCGTAAGTAAAATAAATCAGACACCTACATTTAAATGATGTGTTGTTTCTCTGGTATGAGAAACCACAAGCATAAATGAGAACTGAGCTGAGTAACAGATACTGGGGAAACAATATTCAAATGAAGAGAATAAGGAGGGCAGGGAGAAGGGACAAGGAAAGTAAGAGAGAACAGAAGGAAAAAATGGAAAGAAAGACTTTGTAAATGTTTAATTGTTTAAATGTTTCCATCTCTTGAAACCTGGATGAAAAGACAAGCTGGCCCTATTTGTAAATAAGCAGGGTAAAAGCAGTGGTAAGAATAGGGAAATAGGGGGAAAAAATGAAGCAAAAGGGTCCGGGAAGATGGTTCAGTGGAATAAGCGCTTCTCTGGTAAGCACAAGGGCTTGAGGTCAATCGCTGGTTCTGCCAAAAAAACAAAAACAAACAAACAAAAAAAAAAAACGAAGCAAGATATGTCATACAGGTATAAATTCCTTATGATGAATGCTATTGTTAAATTTATCCAAAATGCATCAGTTAAAAAAAGGGGGGAAAGCCCACCCAGCTCCGAGCACTGAGATCAGTCAGCGTTTGTTTAGTTAGGCTGTGGGTTCATCCTTAACATGAGTACCCTACAGTACTGTTTAGTTTCTCCAATGTCAGAAACCGTCCTGAGCTGTGAGCAGCACTGCCCGACTCTACCTGGCCAGTTGGACGTGCTCACTTTGGAATCATTCATCATTCTGATCTACTATTAACACACTTGTGTACCTGTCGAGCGCCAGGCACTAAAGTGGCAGTGCCCAGCAGCCTCCGCCGTGCGGCAGTTGCCTGCTGTCACTTACTTTGGGCCTCGTCAGCCCCTGGTCTCTGAAGCCATCATCATCACACAGCCCAGGTTTCTGGCCTCGGCGCTTGCTGTTGTTGCTGAGCACCTGGGCATTGGCTTTGAGCACGTGGTTGAGAGTGTGCAGGCAGTACACGCGGCGAATCTCTTCCCCGTTCTTCAGGGCGGTTCTTTCTGGGAAGAACAGGTCCCGATAGGAATTCATAATGAAGAAGAGCTCCTTCTGGAGGGGTGTGAAGGGGCTATTTGATTTTGGGGGACCAGACAAGAACTGGCTGTTGGTCTTGGTCCAGGTGGATTCCAGAGGCTTGTGGAGATGAAGAGATTTCAAGTCAAAATCCTTGGGAGGTTTAAGTGTTTCCATTTCCTGAAACCTGGAAGAAAAGACAAGCTGGCCCATGATGGGCCACTAGGGAGAGAGAGATCAAGAACTGAGTTGGAGCTGAATCAAAATGCCTGGCGTTCAGTCATTTACACATGCAAGTTAACACAATCTTCCACAATACAGCATTTCATTAACCCTGGCCAGGAACTCTGCAATGTAGGCGTCCTTACACTCCCTTTACAGAATGGGAAGGAGAGGCAGGCTCAGAGACCCAGAACAAGTTCGCAGGCAATGTAGGCCAGAGTCCAAGCCTGCTGGTCTCAAATCTGAGCTCCAGGTAAGCATGGTGGCACACACCAGGCACCCCAACACTTGAGAGGCTGAGGCAGGAGGATCACTGAGTTTGAGGCCAACCTGGGTTACACAGTGAGTGCAAGATCAGCCTGAAGAGCATACTGAGACCCTATCTCAAAATACCCCACAAAAAAAAAACCAAAACAAATCTGAGCTCCTCATTCCACCAGTCTCACACTCTTCTGTAGAGCACACCATAGGAGTCTACATTCAGTCTAGGAAAGTTTCTGGGCTAGGGAGATAGCTCAGTGGCCTAAGCGCCTGCCTGGCGAGCACAAGGACATGGGTCTAGTCTCCAGTACCACATGCCACACTGGCTCCGGAACCCAGGGCGTAGTGTGCCAGCCACCGAAACCAGGCGTGGTGGCACGCACCTGTAATCCAGTGCTAGGGTGGCTGACATGGGATCACTACAAGTCTGAGCTGGGTAGTGAGACCCTATTCCAAATAAATAAATAAAGAAATAAAGAAAGAAAGAAAGAAAGAAAGAAAGAAAGAAAGAAAGAAAGTAAGTTTCTGTGGTTAGATGACTTTTTTTGTTTTGTTTTGTTTTGTTTTGTTTTTCACACAAAAAAATTATTTATTTGGTATAGGATCTCACTACATGCTTGAACTCGTAGATTCTTCCTCCTGTCTCAGCCTCTCCAGTGCTGGGATTACAGGTGTGCACCACCACACCTGGTTTCAGTGGCCGGCACAGAACACCTGGGATTCTTGGGCCAGCGCGGCATGTGGTGCCAAGGACTGAACCCACGTCCTTGAGCTTACTGGGCAGGTGCTTATGCTGCTGAGTTGTCTTCCCAGCCCCATACAATGGGATTTCTAAGTAAGGACATGAGGCCTGCTCAAGTGAAAAATCTTTATTGCGAAGTTTCCTGTGGTGACACTCCCTCCT